GCTTATATAAACTAAGTAACAATACATTGGGGATTTCAATATGAAGTAATTAAGATTAAGATTGAAATCTTAATTATGTAAGAAATTCCGGAGTGCACGTCCCATGTTCTTCTTCCATCCCTACCTTTCCAATGTGATATTTAACTTGGAATGAAAAAAAATATATAATCATCCCGGTTACTGACATCCTAAATAATGATATGGAATTTTCATTTTTTATTTCTCTTCCCCCCCCTCCCCCCCCCCCCCCCCCCCCCCCCCCGCATTCCAGGGTCACAGAACATGAACAATTGAATTACCCTATATAAATGTCATTGTATCGAAATAGCCTGTGGTATCAAGATTGATAATATCCCAATAAAAAAAGAAAGAAAAGAGCGAGGGGGGGCGGGAAAGGCGAGAGAAAGGGGGCACCGTGCAGCCAATGGAATTGAGGGGAGGAACCGAGGACAAAAAAAAAATTTTCTTCAAAAATTGAGAAATCCTCAATCTGAAATTTGTCTCCACAAGGGTGAAAGCTGGCCGCCCTCTGTTTGTTTTGCTCACTTGCTGTGGCTGTGTCCCTTGTGCTAATATTGCACAGCTGTGTGTTGGTGCATGAACGTGTTGCACATCCGAACGCTTTGGAAACCCTTATCAAAAGTCACGATGTTTTAGGCTGCCCAAAGCGGGAACGGTTGAATAATCTCCCCATGGCTGAGACTTGAATTTCTGTTGCTGAGCCAGGCGGACGTTAAGTGAGTCGCTCCAATTTTACAACGGTTGTTAAGCGAATCGCTGCCACGAAGTGAAACACACAGTCGTGAAGCATATCCGGAATTCTCTCGCTGGCTTTGAATGTTTTGAATATTTTGCCGAGTGAATCGTCCATTCTTCCCACAGTGGCCTGGAATCTCTTCTTATCTGCCCTTTCGCTCCTCAAACTTACCAAGTCGACAACTATGGCTTGTCTTCAGCTTATTTGTTTAGTGGCTGTTCAAAGTTATGACGGCACTGAAAAAAAATGACTAATGACCCGTGGTGGGATTCAGCACTGGTTCTAGAGTACCAGTTATTAACTTTCTGAGCAGTTTGGTGAACTGGTTGTTGGAAGAAATCATTAGGGCAGAGAACCAGTTGTTAAATTATTTGAATCCCACCACTGCTTACGACCATTTTGTCACACTTAATGACCATTGGAGCGTCACCATGGTCACGTGATCAAAATTCAGATGCTCAGCAACCGATTCATATTTAGGATGGTTGCAGCATCCCTGGGTCACTTGATCGCCTTCTGACAGATCTGCTTAACAACCAGGTTACTAACTTAATACAGGTAGTCCTCAACTTACGGCCACAGTTGAGCCCAAAATTTCTGTTGTTAAGGGAGAAATTTGTTAAGTGTGTTTTGCCCCATTTTACAACTATTCTTGCCATGTTTGTTGAGTGAATCACTGCAGTTGTTGAATTACTGGTAATAACATGGTTGTTAAGTGAATCTGGCTGCCCCATTGGGCAGGGGATCACGTGACCCTAGGACACAGCTACTGTCATAAATATGAATCAGTGGCTAATTATCTGAATTTTGATCACATAACCATAGGGATGCTGCAATGGTCTTAAGTGTGAAAAACGGTCATAAGCCACTTTTTTCAGTGATGATGTAACTTTGAACGGTCACTAAAGGCACTGTCATAAGTCGAGGACTGCCTGTATCTGTCCAGATCACAGTACCATGCAGGTACTCCTTGACGTATGACTGCAATTGATCCCTAAATTTCTGTTGTTATGGGAGACATTCGTTAAGGGAGTTTTGTCCCATTTTACGACTTTTCTTGCCACAGTTGTTAAGTGAATCCGGCTTCCCCCATTGGTTTTGCTAGGCACCAAAGGGGAAATCACATGACCTCGGGACACAGCAACGGTCATAAATACGAGTCACTTGCATCTGAATTTGGATCGCACGATCACGGGGAGGCTTGCAAAGCTCGTCACTGTGAAAAGTGGTCTTAAGCGAGGGTAGGCAGGTTTTCCGGAGAACTAAGATTCTGTGCAGTTTGGAAAAAACTCCAAATCCCACTCCCGGATGGCCCCACCCCTCCCCTTCTCTCCCAGGATTCCCCACATGGCTTGTTTTGGATTCAGGTAAGTACAGGGCGTGCGTGGAGCCTCGGGAAGGGCCAAAAACGGGCCTCCCAGAAGTTTGAGAAGGTTGGAAATGGGCCAGCTTCCAGAGAGCCTCCGGAGCCCGGGGAGCCCGTTTTCACCCTTCCGGAGGCTCGAGAAAAGCCTCCAGAGCCTGGGCAGGACAAAAACGCCTTCCCCTGCCATGATGCAGGAGGCCGATTAGGCCACGCCCACCATGGCCACGCCCACCCAACAACCAGGCAGAGAAGCCCTTTGCTAAAGTTTTTGAAGCCCACCCCTGGTCGAAAGTCACTTTCCCCCAGTGCTGTTGCAACTTCAAACGGTCACTAAACAAACTGTTGTACGTCAAGGACTGCCTGCGCTGACCTGTGGCTCGTCTCTTGCAGGGACTGAACAAGCTTTCTGCAATCAGTGGTTCACCCCTGTTTTTCGTGGCCTTCAGCCATCAGAAAGATGAACCGGTTTCACAAACGGCCTAAATGATGAAATGTTTTTCCTCTGGCACTCTGGACGGCTTCGTCTCGTTTCTTTGGCAGCCCCAAAGCTATTGGGAGAGATTCGTGGTGTGCCAGCCTTGATGTCCCAATGCAGCCTCTCTCGCCCCCTTGTCCCTGGGCCAACTGTCTCAGCTCCACAAGGCCAAGGAGTAACACCGTACAAGGAAGAGTTTGGAAATAACCCCAGTCTAAAAATAAAACCACAACAAGCCAACGCCCCCCCTCAAGCGTGACGTTTCCTGGACTTTTGAGTGGCATGAAACCACCCCGATCATGTTGAGGGACCGTGCCAGGATTTGGGCATCGGTCTATAAATGGAGAACACCTTCCCGATGGAGAACTGAAGATCTTCACAAGCCCTTCCAGCTTGAAGGAGAAGGTGGTCTTGAAAATCCAGCCATGGAGAATCAGAATGGAGAGCGAATTCCCATGCAGAGATACTTCTCAGCTGTCCGTCACATGGAGCAGACCGTGATGTTCCCCAGCCTTCTCCAGGGCGTCTTGTTGGAAGACCAAGAGGATCCAGCCGGAACCGACTCCGAGAAGGAATGTCCCAGGGACAGAGATCTGTATGACTACTTCACCCTTCTAAAATCCATCAAGTCCACGGTTGAAAGCGGTCTACCTCCTCTCCGCTCCAGGGAAGAAGAAGAAGCTAGGGAGAAGACTGATCTTGAAGGACTCTTTCGGTATCACATTTCTGGCTTGTATCACGTTCTCACCCAACTGACCACTCGAGCCAATGCTGTGACTTCTAGGTACAATGAAATTCTGGGACAGATCAATCAGAA